AGTGGCGTCGTCAATATACAAAAACACAAACTGTCACACGCGACGTACACATACATAAACATAAACGGGAGTTTTTGACTAAACAGGCCTGTTGATTACACATATCCGCACAAGAGCAATATGACTTGATTGATATATTGATTTAGTCACAAGATCAGCTCAGGGGCTAAACCATATGGATTTTAATTAAGTGTGGAATACGTTTTTATGTCTTTATATAAATTTACAGTTAAATATTTTACATTCAGTCGTGAGTTTCTAATATTCTAATTCATTCAACATTTATACTTTAATCGCCTTTGTCCTAAGGAACCATGGTTGTAAAAAAAGTTTTCAAATAATTAAACACTGTTTTGATATGTATTATTTTAATTACAGTCTACAACAAAGTGCATAACGACATTTTATTAAAGGCTAATGCATAAGGAGATACCGGTATGTTTCAATTTAATCCACTACGTTGTTCATATGAAGGAATGCTCGGCAATCATATTCAAACCAGGAATTTTGAAACTATTAGTTTCGAAATGATAAGTAGAACTGGAGGTCGTCCTGATATCAACTGCTGAGACTTCTTCCGGATCAGCCTTAAATCCTGTTACAATATCAGTAACAGCACTGATATCTAATACTGGTGGATTAGAGTCCTCTGTTGGTTTCTGATTATAATTAATTAGCATAGAAACATTGTTGTGAAATATAAAACCATGTTCTTTTGGATTAGGAAATAATATTTTGTTAGCTTGGTGATTACAATACTTGTTTTACTTTCGATCCTGGTAAATGTCAGTAGCTTTTTGATGATTTGATTAGATCTTTTATTGAACATTTGTTATTTAGATTATCTAATGAAGCATCTGGTCCCAGTCAGTATTACTGATACACCAATGATGTCATCCTAGTATAATTTTACTTTCATGTTCTTTATGCTGAAACCTATGTACCTGGTTTACGTGCTGCCTTCAAAGTACAAATAGTTTTATAATTATCTGTTTGGTTTTATTTTCTTGTTATTATTCTTTTTGAAGATAAGCTGACTTAAGCTAAACCATATGTTTATGATTCATATGATAATATGATAACGAATAAAAACAAGCCCAGTAAATGATGTGTTAAACTATATAACTTCTTTTAATAATTTGTCTACAACATATATCTATATTATTAATAAGCTACATGAAACTTTGTGAACAATTAGGCTTTTTTTAAAACAATACGTCTACGACATCCTTGATTATTGACTCACATGCAAGTTGTGTTAAGTATTTTACTAGCATTAATACTACCCAATGTGCTACTATATTGCGTCGTAAATTTACGATCGGTGATCATCTTTACGACTGGAGGTTATAATATATGAAGTAATTATATTTGTAAGTGTGGTAGCCTTGACCAAGAGTTTGACTTTTATCTGTCTATTTTCCCGATGGGTCACGGGTACTCTAGGCAATACCTGTATAGGAGGGTCAACTTGGTGTTGATTCTGCCTGCAAAAGGACAGTGATGTTTATCACACCTTCGATATTATCGGTACTTTCAAGCTGATCGAGCTTCTTTGAGTCGGGCTATCAGTGCAGAAACTGTCTGGGATGAACTACGACAGCAGGAGCGTTTATACTTAATTAAATGCTAGACGAGATATGCCCGAACCCTTAACTGTTGTAAAATATAATTTCCACACCCGCTAAATTGTTATAAACTATAAGTTCCATAATAAAACCATCGATGAACTAACTCAAGTAGACCTCCCATGGCATTGTAAAATCCAAAACTTGTTTTTTTCTGGTTCATGTTGGTGACACGTACTATCACTGGTTACCACTTCATCGACAACATTTTGTTTCCTTTATTTTGGGGTTAATTGTATGGAATGTCCTTTGTGGTTTTAAAATCAGAGGAGGAGCTATTGTTTCTAATTGGATAGCTTTATTTTATTAATCTAGTATTAAAATAACTTGAATAACAGGAAACAAATGTAAACAAAAAGAAGGCACCTCTCGAGGCACCGGACGGAGCTGACATTAAAATTGTCTTCAGCTGATCGTAAATTTGATGAAAAAATATTTAGAAGGTATATTAAATCGTTAAATCTATAATAAAACTGTAATCAAGGACTGTCCGATTGATAACGTAGTAATAGTATAAAGGTTGCAGCTAGATTCCCCTCAGGGGTTAAAAGGTTTATGCATTATGCACCCTTTGTAAAGAGCAAGTCATCCTTGCCCATCCTGCCACTGACTCAACAGACTCAAAAATTTTTCCTTATTTATTATATATATATTTACCAAAACCAAGATATGTACAGGATGATTCTAAATTATTGTTACACTTTTGAAACTTTACAAATGAATAACCATACAATCTATCATCAGGGTGAGGATCAATTGGAAAAGCATATTGAAAAGTTTTGTTTGATACCTCTTTGGTAAACATAGTTTCAAAATTAGCCTATACAGACATGTTTAGATTTTAACTACGATTTTAAATTAATTACACACTTCTACCTATCTGAATCTCAAAAGGTCATACTTTATGTTCAGCTGCCAACAGTTTTAATTATACCACTACGGGTCAATTAGCTCTTTAATTTACCGCTCAGTTATTGTTGTTCACCATTATTGTAAGCTGCGAGGAACATTTCATCAAAAGAGCAAAAATTGTTCTGAGTTTTAAAATTTCGTTGATTATAAACTGTGTAATTAATTTAAAATCGTAGTTAAAATCTAAAAAATGTCTGTTGAGGCTAATTTTTCAACTATGTTTACCAAAGTGGTGTCAAAAAAACTTTAGAATCTCCTCTTTCAATTGATTCTCAACCCGTGATGATAGGTTGTATAGTTTTTCATTTATAGAGTTTAAAAAGTGTAGATAGAAATAATATACAATCTCCCTGTATTATATAAACAGTCTCATAAACATTTATACGTAATGTAAATCATTGAGATGATGATCTTTTAATTGCTTCTTATCTCTCTTTGTAACTAGATATCAAGTGATTTTATTTAGACATCATATTTCCTATTTTAACTATGGATTAATATACAACCGTTCGGTTTATCTAAAGGCTGTGGACAGTTGGGAGAGAGTGTGTTAAGCTTCACTTTAACTACATGACTTTAACCACATTAAACACTGTATCATCTTGAGCTAATATGCCAGACGTTACTAGTTCGAGTCCAGCCGCAAGCAGTCTATTGTCACTGTTTGTGACTGCTTGTAGTGCTTGTCAATGGCTTGTCAGTGGCTTGTCAGTGGCTTGTCCGACGACTTGTCGATACAACTAAGCGGCCTCACTTTCATTACAACAGTCTATTGCAGTTCAAATTTGTAACTTGCAATGTTTTCACATTAAACTTTTATGCGACATAATTAACGGCGATTCTCTTACCAGATAAAAAAATATAAAACGCTAATTAGTAAACAAAGGTAAACGATTTTTAAACTAAAAAATATATTCCTAATATACTGCAATGGAATTATATAATAAAAGTAGTCAGTCAAAGATAATATGCAAAGAAGCACAATTCAATCACCATATAAAAATGTATACACTGTAGATTATCGTATAGGCGAGTAGCAACAAATACACATATCACTTTATCCAAACAATAAAAAGTATACACACACAATTTTTCTTCCAGAGAAAAGATTTGAAAAGAATATGATCACATTGTTGTCCCATGGCACGAATTTTTTTTACAAGTTTCACATAGCTGCATATCATTGTCTTGGCCGACATCCTCATTTTATTTCTGTGTCCTTTCACATTTGTATAAGATTTCTTCTTTCCACAAACACTAAAAGCCACAATTCGCGTATTTTATTCACTTTTTACACACATATACAATTAATAAATTAAAACACTCAATATAGTTATATTGAAACACTTGTGCATAGTCATCTCACATTTCAGAGGTTTTCACTAAGGTAACTAGCTAAACGTCTCTTTATAATTATTCCGAAACAAATTATACTTACAAGCATGACTAAACAATTGTATAAAATTATAAAATCAACTGTAAACTTTTGTAATATTTTGTGGAACGTGTGTATGAAGAATATAGCAAATATTTACGTAGACAAATATAACCAAAATAATTCAATACGTTTAATAATAAAAAAATATAAATATCTTTTGATTAAATTGAAAGCGACGATGGTTATTCTTACAAAAGTTTTATATTGTAGACAATGGAATGCCGTACTAAATTAATATAATAATTTTACAAATAATAATAGGCAATAACATAGAATTCATATTTTATTTGAATCTCTCTTTACATAAAAACCCAAACTATTTTAAAAGGTTTAATTTCACGAGCTTTTCAGTGGTTTCAAAGTTTTTAGGATTAAAATCGTTTATCAATGTATTTTTATAAATAGATAAGTACAATTCTATATCAATAGGTCATACCATGCAAATTCTTTTTCCGTGGCAATGTTAATAAAATTTCTTTTGTGTTTAAGTTTTAGGCAGTTATTTTTCAAACACTTTAAAGTATTATTTTCTTTAAGTACTATTACGAAATAGTATTTATATCTTTAAGGTCTATTACTTTGATTACTATTAATATAAAATCCAAAATTATAAGGTAAAGTACTCGATATATTATAGAGTTTTACGGTTAAAATAAAATACTTCTTTAAACACCACTTGTGATATTTATTAAGTCATGTACTTAGTAATGGCTTTGAAATTAATTGTCAGTGTCTAGAAAAATTTTTTGAGTGTGTTCCAATATTAGCACTGAAACGATAAATTGTTATAACAAATCATGTAAACCACCAAATTATAAAAGGTAAACAAAAATACGTTTAATCCACCCTGAGATTACAGTCCGGCCCCGAATCACTTGGTCAGGTGTCAACACCTCCCCCGTCGGCACTACTGTGACATCTGTCGTCTGCTGGGCGCAGAATGGTACTTGGTGTGCAGGGTAGGTGGGGGTGCGGACCCAGCAGAGTATATAAGCCAGAGGCGCGCTCCTACCCGCAGTAGTGTTGTGTGCACCTTCGTTGGGAACGGACTAAAGCCATGTTGTCTCAGGTATGGTGCGCGATCTTCATTTAAGTTAATGGAAAGTGAAATAATTATTAAGTTAAAAAAGTGGAGTAGTGTTTTAGGTTTTCGGTGCAAATGAAACATTTTTGATAATTTTTATTAAGCTTGTTTATAATTTTTTAAGGGGTGTAATGTTTCGTTGTAGTTTTAGGTATAGTGTGGGGTTTTATTTTCTACCATTGTACATTTACTATTTTAACTATGGATGAAGAGTTATAATTTAGATGCTTCGGTATAAATGTTTAGGGGTGTAAATTTGTTTCGGGTACATTGCCTGAGTTTATTTTATATTAGCATACAAAATGTTATCATAATTTAATTAGAGAAGTGAAATAGTTTTTGGAAATTTTATCATAAATTAAACTAACTACGACAAATGTTTTGGAGTTTTAATGTAATATTTAAATGACTTAACTATTCATTCATGTAAATAAAAATACATTCATATATGGGTAGAATGGATGAAATAATAATTTCAAAATTTAAAAACCTTTGAATTTTAAATAAATGTAATCGTCTATAATTTTAATTTCGATTCACAGAATCAGATAGAAATTTCTACGAGTTTATTGTAAAGTTGATCTATTGTAGTAAGCTACATGAACTTATTGATTTTAAAATTGTAACTTGTTAATTAATGACTGGAAAATTTATCGGTATTATTTAAAACTAGATAATTCAATTAAATAAATGTTATGTGTTTGGTTCTACCAATAAACGTTTAGTTAACATTAGATTTTTTTAAATCTTCATAACCAGTTTTTCATTTGCAAAAAAAAAAGAAACAATAAGTCGTAATACCCATGAAATTTATCAGTTTGCATTAAACATGTTTTAAACACATTAAGTATTTACATGGAAGCACCCTAAAATGCAATTAGCTTTAAAACACCCATATTAAACACTATTCTGCATTTAACCACAAAATATAACTCATCATGTTAATATTCTTATAACGTTGTAAGGATTCGAGGAAAAAAATTGAAAAAAAGTATTGGGTAACTAATTTTCAAATTAATATGATTCCAAGGAAAATTATTGTAATAACATGTCATGTAAATAACAATTACACAGCTCAGTATAACTGACATTACAATGACAAATAAACTGAAGTCCTCGAGCTGTCGACGTCTGGTTAATGTCACACGAATATCATTGTATGCTGATTAAATGTTTTCTTAGGTTTTCTTCTTTGTTTAAAAACATTCAGCGTAAAATTTATATTAGTTTATCAAGAGTAAGTAAATCCTGACAAGAAAATTTTTACAAAAATCAATAGCATCTGATAAGTAATTAAACATAAAAATTTTCCTATAGGATTTGTCTAAAAGAATACAAGTAATGCATCGTTTACTTTGTGTTCAGTGTTGTTAACCCCAGAAAACTTACAGGGAACCTTATAATTATTGGAGACATCGATAAGTGGTATTACTGAAGTCGTATAAGTATGACCCGGCAACAATTGCATTTTTCGGTGTTTCATCGATTATTTAAAGTGCGATAATACTATTATTATACATACTCGGTCATAATTCCAAATAATACTAATAGTTTACATCCATTTTTTATTTATATAGATTTTTTACTTCTTATAAATACTGTGAACTGACATTCGATTTCGTCACCTTCCTGAGTGGAGAAATATGATGTTCACTTTTACTAGACTTTCATAAAACATTTTGGTGCATAAAACATTAATCTCAACAGTTTTGTTAACAATTCTTCATTATATACTGTACTTATCAAACACTAACTAGTAAGTTTTCTAAAATGAGCTCGTGTCATACAACATAATATTCCACAAATATGATAAAATACCAGCCAATCGCTTGCCATAATAAGTAGTGTATATTAATGATATAGTTTGTAGGACATGTTATATTATTTGATACCTATTTTATTTTTACACTTTTATAATAACGAAAAATAACTACATTGCTACAATACAAATTTAAGTAGCTGTTTAGAGTCCCGATTAAATCGTACTTTTCGAAAACCTCACGACCGATAAAATGAGAACCTTGTCTCATTTATAAATTTCACACAATATTTTTTACCAAATAAACCGTTTTACTGTGGTTGTAGTAAAAAAAGCAAAAGCACTTCAGGATCAGGCGTTAAGAATATGTAATTTTTATTTAAAAAATGGTTCATTTATATGGATTTATATGGAAGGTACTCATCAATATTGACAATTTAATGCCTCATTTCGTACTAAACCAGTAACTAACTAAATCATTGGCTATCAGTTTATACTCTCAAACAAATGTTCGACATTAGTTACAAGACCAGGGCTTATACACTTTCCTTACTGAAACAAACAATGTAAATGTCACTTGAAATTGTTACAAATTTAATAGAATCCTATAATTCAGTTGATCAGCCTAAGTAAACAAGGTGTTCGGTAGTCACTGGCCGGTCTGGCCAGTCACTGACCGGTGATGTAACTGTAGCACATGGCCAGCGAAAGTGGTGGGTCGCGGGTCCAATGTCGCCCCAAGGCCGTCAAACTGGGCCACCGGGGCATCCGACCTGCGGCGTCCTCTCACTACCTCTCCTTCCTACAGGATTTGCTATGCATTTTTCATCCATTGTTTGAGTAGGTTTTCCTATCTGTATACTACAGTATTGGTATTGTTATTAGATACCTCAGCTAGATAAGAATGACACGTAATACAACTCATAACTGCCTTGTTGCATTAGAGACTTTAACGCATGGAATTGCTGAAGTGCATAGGTCCCTATTTACCCTTCCCAAAGACGTCGTTGAGAAATTTCTTTATCCATTGTCCTAATCGGTGTTTTTATACCAGGATTTCGTATTTGCATACTTCTTGGGAAAATTAAATAGATCGTTACACATATCTTATTTTGACCTGTTATATTGTACTTAGAGACTTCAACACATGATATTTCTGAAGTCACTATGACGGTAATGAGCAATTTATTTTTTGTTTCCGCGTGATATAATATAAGTATATTGCTTGAGGATTTTAGATAAATTTTAAATTCGATTCTTACCTGCCTGCTTATACTGGAGACTTCAATGACTGGTATTACTGAGGTCGTGTAGGCCCGCACCTTTCTGTCCTAGAGATGCTGTTGAGCAGTTTCTTTATCAATTGTTTTCCTCGTGAAAATGTAATGCATATATAAGTTCTTTTGCATAAATTGTTCTTTTTTTCCATTAGTCAATAAAAAACTTATTATTACTTATATTGTTCACCGGAGTAAAACATTGTACATTCCGTGATTAGATATTCATTACGTGTAGTTAGTTACTAAATGGTAATTGTTTAGATCCTTCCATAAACTGTACATTCACTTGAACACTGTAGATGTATTTTCAACTTGTTATCAATCGGTATTTATGAACCTAATTCTCATTTTTTGTATGCTTTACTACGACTTTTAGATTGTTTAAAGGAACTGTCTTAAATGTAACCTATTCAAAAATTAATATTTTAACCTTTGATTAGATATCATAATTATTAATAGTTTGTAACAAATTGCATCTAAGTTTTTAAATAACCCAGCAGGCACATAAATAACACTTGGAGGTGATATTTATAACACCTTAGCTACATTACAGGAAAGCCGTTGAGATCTTGGATAATTCATAACCACATCAACCACATTCCATAAAACATTTTGTAATAAACTTTGCAGCATATTTTATCTAATAAAATCAGTTGCATTACCCGATGCTGCCATTTTCCTTAACTTTTAATTAGCTCGTACGTTACAGTTATTTTTCAAAGGGTAAAACTACTAACCACTTAACCTATATTCTGTTACTAAATTAATATCGTAAATTAGGCTGTCCGAAATTTCCTCATCGTCCGCTCATTAATTTTTGGTAATTACAAACGGTCCCTTCACCAGACCTCAAGATGGGCTAGTCTTTGGTATAAACTACAGCGCTCCTTACGGCTTAGGTGATCTTTGAAGCGACTCATGATTTAAATAAAGCGTTTATACTCTCTTCCGCGTCCTTGTACTGCCAATTAGTACTATCAGTGGAACGCTCGTAAGTCGTTCATTTAGTTACGAATCCAAACCATAAAATGTACCTCGCTGTTTTAGTGCCTCTTTACTTTCTCCAAACTGTTGTCTTTGTTTCTGAACAAATGGAGTTGTGCTATGCATACTAAAAGTATACGTTGCAAGTATGTTTTAAACCAAGATTTCAAACTAGCATTAACCTTTACCTAAATCAATCTAAATTTGGTTCATTATTCTAAAACAGTAAAAAATAAATTTTAAAAAACTAATTTAAGAAAACGGTTGGTATTTTCTAAAAATTAAGACCAACTTCGAAAGAGTCATTAACTAAGTAATGCTAAATAATCCACTCAAGTTATTTCTTCTTTAGAAATATTACATAACCCAACTTCCCACGCGTTAAAAATGTCTTAGCCATAATGATCGTAATAGTCATGATTAGTGTACAAATTTTAAATTTTGATAGATAAAAGTATATTCTTGATCGGTTTACCTGTTTCCAACATAACGACAGGAAAACATGGAAAGACAATGCATCGTTATATCTTTGATGTAAGTGTAATGAAGAAACATAGGATCCATAGTTCTTGCTTACATTATGGAGAAACATAGGATCCATAGTTCTTGCATTTCGGGAAACATAAACCAGTGCTTTCAATTCAACTTTGCCGATTGTTACACGTCCCTTTCCCTTCACATTAGCACATAAATTATATAACTGATTGTCCAAACGTAACACCATTGTAGACTTATCTCATTGTCTCTCATCTCTGTCTTCCTCTACGCGCCTCTTTCCTCTAGTCGTTCATATTGTCGTTTTTCCAAGTGAATAACCCAGATCCTGGTTGCAAAAGTAGCATCCGCTGAAGTGTTGGGCATGGGTGAGAGATTATGTATGTTACTGTCTTTTTGTTACTGTAGTGACTATTCATTTAAGGGGTTTGTATTAATAGTTTAAACTCTGTCCACCACCAACCTTG